TACAACAGACACAAAACTACATCATCACTACAACAGACACAAAACTACAACATCATCACTACAACAGACACAAAACTACAACATCATCACTACAACAGATACAAAACTACATCATCACTACAACAGACACAAAACTACAACATCATCACTACAACAGACACAAAACTACAACATCATATCTACAACAGATAGACAAAACTACATAAACACTACAGCAGGCAAATAAAACCACATCATCACTACACTACACTCGTCATCACTATTTTCTTGTGAACCTCTTGTCACGTTTCATCAGATGTGAAAATTCCAACCAACCTAAATTACTTATACCCCCAAAAAAATTTACCTCATTAACTTCATCACAATAACTTTCAAAACAAAATGACTGACCAGAAAACTAGCCACCAGGAGGGATCGCACCTCGTCGAGTTCGAATATGCTAACTTCGATAAAAATTTCAAAACGACCCGACTTTTGGGAAGTGGGGCCAGTGGGAGAGTATTCTTGGGAGAATTCTCCAACTTACCAGCCTGCGCCAAAGTTGGAGTACGCCATGACGTCAACAACACCTTCAACAGGGAAAAATATAATAACTTGCAGGTAAACGGTGCAGGTGGATCCCCCGTCCTGCTGGGGTCATGCACCGATTACCCAGTCCTGATCTTCTCACTCTGCCAGGGTCAGACATTGGATGAGGTGGTCGAGAATCTATTCGTTTTCTCCCCCACTAAATCAATAACCATATTTCTACCCATCGCTGAAGCCCTAGCCGAGGTACACAGCCGGGGAATCATCCATAACGATATCAAAGTGGATAACGTTCTGCTGGAGAAGAACTTCGATGGGTCCTACACCTCCCACTTTATCGACTTTGGATTATCAAGAGTAGAAGGTGGCCACCTGACCTTACACAGCAATCCTAACGACAGCCATTACGCCCCGGAGTTGTTTAGGGGTCTCCCCTGCACCCCGGCAAGTGACATCTACTCGCTCGGAGTTATGATCTCCGACGTCCAAAATTGCTTTGATAACCTCTGGCCGCCAGGGGTTAAACGCCTGTGCAAGCAGATGCTCAGCCGCAACCCACAGCACCGCCCAAATCTTTCTAAAGTGATCGAAGGTTTGAGGGAATCCCTTAAGGAGCTCTCCCTCGAGGTGCTCTCTTCCTCCAAGGCCGACCCCACCTACCATGCAACTTTCGTCTAGTGATCAGCGGTGGGCACGGTTCCGCTAATCCGCTAATCGCTAATTAACGAAGCTAACTTTCTCGTCAGCGGATTAGCGTTTTCGCTAACCTTGGAAACCATTAGCGGACCAATTAGCTTTCGCTAAATTTAACTCCGCCAATTTTAAGTCCGCTAACAAAATTTATACATGTTTGGTCCTGTCTGTTGTAAGCATGTAACGCCTTGACACGTGTCTCCAACATCCAGTCAGGAACGCTTGGCTGACTGCGTGTTAGTACGTGTAAACGTGACTAGACATGATTTGTCGACGCCGCGCTGCAGCAACTGAGTGAATGGAATTTTTCGATTATTAAAGTTTAATACTTTTTTTTTACAGTAAATAAAGACTGTCAGTGTATGTTGAAAGAATCATAGAATGTAATTGTAAACTAATGTATAATTTCATTTTTCATTATTTGTTAATTTAATTAGGATTTTTTTGTGTCAATATATTTGGTTATGGTAAGTACTGCATAAGTTCATAACTAGGATGTCATCCAAGGTGTGCGCCAAACAAAATTTTCTAAAAACTTACTTTTCATTAAAGTTTAGAATTTTCTGTTTATTTACACGACTAAGACCAACAACCTATATATATATAAAACAAAGTGTATGTATTTAATGTTAAAGCAGACAGATAAAAAAGCATGGAAAATAGTATGACAATCATAATGCAGAAGACTATAAACACAGTAAACGTTATGTGCAAGTGTTCTGTAAAGTTGACCACACGTTATCCCTGAACGCTGTCATCAGCCAGAAGGAAGACTAGGCCCCACACCTGACACACACACACACACACACACACACACACACACACACACACATACACACACACACACACACACACACACACACTTCCGTGACCTGGGTTATTGTTTGAACACTTCTGGGAACAAGTATGAAACTTAGAACCCAGTTATATATTGCCTTCATGATTAATTTTGGTTGGAATATTTCCGCTCTGATTTAAAAATTTACCTCATAAATGATTGTAAATATAGTACTTGACTTCCCCATCAAATATAACCAGAATGAATCAGATACGTTTTCGTAACCTTAATGAGTTTATGAAGAAATTTACCATTATTCTACAGCTCTAATAATATAAATTTTACCACCCATGACGTGTACGCTTGTCTGAATACATATATTAACTGAACATAAAACAACGGTACACTATAATAAAATATACTCGAATATACAGTAGTTGTAATGTTAGATACACCGTAAGTAGCGAGCTTCCCCCTGCTTCATGTAAGTATACATAATGTCTAGAATGGTCGTTGCTGCCCCCAGGCATCTTAGCACAGGAGCGTCTGCAGTGACCTTCAGGGGAGCGACCCTTCCTTTATCCACCTTTAATGTTCCTAGTAGTGTTTAACCCACCTCCTCCTGGAGTGAATGTGTAGTCTTCCTCGTCCACCCTTCGGATGGCCATGTTAAAAAGTGGCCCTTCTAACATGCTCATTGAGGATTGCGTTCTTAGGTGGCAGGCCATCATACACATACTTTCTTTACCTTGTTAAAACTTCCATTATAACTTTACTTATGTCTTCCAGTTTTTTTAGGTCATACAGGAGAATGACTAACCTCTCCACTTTTTGTACTAATTGTGTTGATGCTGTCAGACAATTCCTTGGGTGTTTTACTTCCTTCTGGATAAACTCTCGAAACACTCTACGGGACTGAGTTGTTGTTTTGGGTAGTCCTTGTTCATACACCCTTTAGTTAGTGGGTGAGGTGCCGAATGCCACCCAATTTTCTTGAACACATGTGTCTCCTTGTCAGCAATGGGTAAGAACCAGCACATCGGCATCCACAGTTCTGACGGGGATTCACGGATTTCCGTTGTTTGCAGCATCAGCGATATGGATATTGATTCTCGTGTCAGTTTCCTCGTGACTCTATCGGGGCTGGGCTAATATATTCACGGTTAGCATCTAGGTGTCAGCAGTGAACATTCTCGTCTTCAGCAGCGTACACGACTATTGCTGTGTATTGTAAGAGCAGGAGTCAAGAAGTCCAACAGCTCTGCCTTCACACACACACACACACACACACACACACACACACACACTCAAATTATTTACAGAAATAGGACTAGTTTTAAAATATTTTCTGCTCTTCATAAAAAAAACCCGATTAGAATTCCTGTTAGCCCTTAATATACTACAGGTGATGTGTTGACCCTTTATAATATTCTAACGTCATGGCGTACTTTGGACGTTGATGCTTCGTAGGATAATGTAATGTATTATTGTTTTGTAATACGCAATCATTCTACTGTATTAACATTTATTACCCATTCGCTAGTAGTATGAAATATGAAATATAACACACACACACACACACACACACACACACACACACACACACACACACACACACACACACACACACACACACACACACACACACACACACACACACACACTTCTTATGTAACTTTTATTATATTGTTTACGTATACTGTACCTCCACGAGGGCTCCTACCTTACCACTATTCTGCCTTACGTTTTATTTGTACAACTTTTTTTTTCTCTGTACCTTTCCACCCCTTTATGTCTACGCCAGCCTTTCTTCCTTCACCTTGGTTCCCCTTTCCTGCTCTTCGAAAATTGACTCCATCTTTCCGTCCCTCATTCTTTTTCGCGCCTTTTCGCCCCATATTTTTTCTTCTCGAATATTTTTATACGAAGATCCTGTCACAATATTATTTTATTATGTGTTTACGATGTCGTGCAAAGAGGTTAAAGTTATCTTGCTACAGGGATAAAGTTGTCGTAAGAGAGGGTAAAGGTTATCGTACGAGAGGGTTTAGAGTTATAATAATAGAGAATTAAAGTTGATGTAATAAAGGGTTAATTTTGTCGTGGGGGGTAAAGTTATCGTAAAAGAAAGTTAAAGTTGTCGTATAAATGTGCTGAAAAGGTGGCTCACGAAATACCAAAACAATGCTAAAATTAACCTAACATTGACTGGCCTGTATAGTGAGGTAATATGTTCTGGTGAAATACTGACAGGTAGTAACGCCTGAGTCACTTATTAAAGGACCTGAAGGTTATATACATAGATGGAACTATGCAGTAAGATACACTCCAAGACAGCCAACACAAGACTAATATACTGTAGAACTGTGGTTGGTGAAAGACAAAGGCACCGAACTAGAGACAAAAAGACAACAAAATCTAAAAGTGACACAAAAAAATTGACTAAAACTAATTAGAAATGGCTGAGAATTATCGTATTTGTAACGACTTTCAGGAATTGTTAAAATCTACGAGACGAACATGAAGTCATAATATACCATGTTACAACTTCTTAAGGTTCATCAAAGACTAAGCCCAAACTCCTGAAATTAGTAAACATCACCCGCCCGGACGTGTGAAGACAAGGCTGTCCATGTTAGCAGGTTGTAGTACGAGTAACGCTATACTAAGGGCAAAATGAGGTAGGTAATTAAGGTGAACAGAAACATCTTGAAGTATCTGGTAAAGTCTCCAGAGTTGTCATCACCTTGCCTGAACATGTTAAAAATGTGCTTAAATATGTAATAAGATGTTTGATGGCGGCAGCAGTAGCGTTTTACTTACCTCTTGGCGCTGAGACCTACAGTATATTATAACATGTTGACACCTGTTACGTTGAGACCTATTATAACATGTTGAGATTTACTGTACCACTATAAGACATACTGAATTAAGGTTCATCAAACGCCGCTTGAATGAGAGGTGTTGCAACAGCTGGGTAAGAGAAAGAGAGACCACTGACCTCTCTAAGCTGACGGCAGTGAGGTTGAGGACACTGGCGGTGAAGGAGAGCATCATGAAGTAGTTGGCAATCTTGCAGGCAGCACCGCCAGAGTCCCACAGCACCACGAAGAAGTAGACGATCTTGAGAGGTACACAGAGAAGTAACATGAGCAGGTCGGCCACTGACAGAGACACCAGGAACATGTTGGTCGTGTTGCGGGACTTACGGTCACCTGTACAGTGTGAATCATTGCTGTTATTAATGACGCTGGAAAAGTGTGCACCAGTGTTCTTATTATTAGCATTATCATTATTATTAAAATTACAATTGTGTATTATTATTATTATTATTATTATTATTTGTAAAGGGTGCACCAGTGATGTTATAATTGTTGTAATTATTTTCATTGATGCTACTGGTGTAATCGTTATTATTTATATAACTGTTATGGTTCATATTACTTTTTTAATTGTAATTATTAGTATCAGTAATATTATATTTTAATTATTACTGTATTATTGGCATTATTATTATTAGTATATTATTTGTATTATTATTATTGACAATATTGTTCTAATTGATATTATTATTATTACTAATACCTTTCCAGCACTATAATATATTGATTCTTAAAATAATGTTCACGTAAAATTGAACGTTATGAGTGCATTTATTTGCAGTATTTTGAGTCTGTCCTTCACCTGTGTATTGGCTAAGTTGTTTGGATATTTATTCAATATATTGTGTTATTAATATATACAAGATGTTTGAATTATTGTAACGTCAGAATACCCGATCAACTCAAAAAGTGAAAATAGGTCACACAGACACGACTGCCTGTTAAGGACAAGGTGTACTATTTAAACCTTCGGTACTGTACTGTACTGTACTGTACGTGAGGAGGTAGCGTGCTGCACCGACCCCTCTCACTTCCTCAACTTTGCAAACTTAGGTACCCATTTACAGTTGGGTTGATTAGGAGTTGTCCGGGATCGAACCAGCGATCCTGGGACACTAGGTAAGTAATATTCTTGTTAATACAGGAAAGTGTTGTTAATACTGTTATTGTTAGTACGGATATTGTTATTGCAGCCGTCTGATAATTGTTAGTACTGTGTATTGTTATTATTACAACTGTCAGTGTTCAGAGGCTATTAGGGCCCCTTCCCATCAGTTATTAATATTGTTACTATTGTTATCATTATATTCAATATACATAGGGTAATAATAATGACAATGATGATAATAATTATAATCAGTCTTATTATTTGTGTTACAACCATTACTCAAATTTTCGTTTCTATTATTGGTAAGCAAACATATGACCCTTGACCTGGTCCTAATGTGACCAAAGTCACATGACCTTTGACCTGAGGTGATCCAGGATTACCTTACCTGCCATAAGGACGATGACGGCGACGTTGCCGATGATGCCGAAGACGAGGGTGACCAGGTAGGTGGTGAGGTGCAGGTAGAAGAACGGGATGATCTGCCGGGAGATAACACAGGTGAGAAATGAGTGATAACAGAGATAAGATATTGGAGCTGAGAGATGGGAGATTAGAGATAACAGAGATAAGAGATTAAACCGGTCACATGAGATGAGAGGTAATATATGAGAGTTATAAGAGTGAGAGATTAAGAGCTACCAGAGTTGAGAGACAACAGGTAAAAGATTAGAGTTGTCAGCGCTATAGATGATGATGAGAGATGGAAATATAAAAGTGAGGGCTGCAGATAACTATATTAGAGATATTAGGAAATAAATAATTAGCACCTAAATTTTTGAGAGATAAAAAACTAAAGCTGCTGGAGATTCGAGGAAAAATAATAGAACCAAAATAAACCAGGAAAACTAGCGATGACACTGATAATAAAAATATGAAATGACAAATGACGAAGATGGGAGAAGAAAGAAGCCAGAGATAACAAGAGATAAGAGATGCTGGAGATATGAGCTATGAGGGTTTAGAGATACTTGGATATAATGGCATTGAGAGATAAGCGGTGCTAGTTACTTGGGGTGAGAGAAATAAGATAAGCAAGAAATAGGAGATTTGAGAGATAAGATAAATATGAAATAGGAGAATTGAGAGATGAGATAAACATGAAATAGGGGAACTGAGAGATAAGATAAACAAGAGAACTGAGAGATAAGATAAACAAGGGAACTGAGAGATAAGAAGACCAAGAGTTGAGAGGTAAAATTAACAACTGCTGTGAACACTTGTCAACCATTTATGTAAGTCACGTATGGTCCTAGGTGGAATACTGATGTTATCTGTGGGCTAGGTGTGGTGTTGGGGCACTGTGGGCTGGGTATGATGTTGAGGCACTGTGGGCTGGGTATGAAGTTGGGGCACTGTGGGCTGGGCATGGTGTTGGGGCACTGTGGGCTGGGTATGATGTTGAGACACTGTGGGCTGGGAATAATGCTAGGGCTCTTTGCCTCCTCGACTCGGTGCAGAAAGGAACCATCAAAACAAACCGCAAGAATGTTCTTACCAGAATTCATTTTAGTGTTACACGTTCTTACGGACATTCTACTGTACAGATTTCTTTGTTATAAAGGTACTTTTTCTGTGTTCTACCGAGCTTCACTGAATAGTGCCACCACAACGCACCCATCATCGGCTAACGAGGTCATCTGGGAGGGCGCCTGATTTTTCGGTTGAAATTCCATTTTGGAGAACCGCTGGCTACCAAAACTCATCTATACCTTGGACTAGCACTGCGTGGAGGTCCCTACCACAAAGTCTTTTTCCTATGGCCTGAAAGTCCCATCAGTTCACGATCATCCGGCTTCAAATATTTTCAGTATTTGGCAAGAGGACGCCTTTGAGAATAGATTTGAGAAACTACACTTGTCTGACCGTTATCTGCGCTTTTTTATTTGTTAAACAAATGATGTTTTCATCCTTCCGTACAATTTCTATAATCTCAACGTGGAAGTTAGTCATTGTCCAGCGCATTCTAAGAAACCTGGTGTTCCATTGTCTCCCACTAATTATTTTATCAAAACTCTCCCCTAAGTCTCTCTCAGGCTATGGAATCTGTCGACATCTACTCTAACTTCCTACCTAACTCCACGTCCTTCCCAATAACAAATACAGTTTCCGTTTCAGTCATTCCATCACAGACTTGCTCACTCTCCCTGTTCTAATCTTTGATTTTGCTCTCAAAAGTTGGCAAATCTTATGTTACTGCTTTTGATATTTCTAAAGCCTTCACCTTAATAATACTTTAATCTATGTATATCTTTCTCACCAAACAGACACCCATACAGTTGTGTTGCTTGTTCCTGCCATCTTTGACACCAAGTTTAAGACCTCGTCATCATTTCTTCCAACAGCACACCGTCCGCTGCTGATGGTACAAACCTACATAAAAAATATCCTACCGCTCTAATACCTGCACCCAGTCTTGCACACACACATCTTGAAGCCATGACACAGTGGGATACATATAACCTCGTTACCTTTAGTGCCTCAAGACACCTATTCCTAAAGTCTTCAACAAACTACAGTAGATCGGTCCCAGCCTCCACGTTCTGTCAGTAACGCTCCTGGTATATCTTGTGAGAGTATCTATGGTCAAACCTTTCCTGTAATCACCCAATTCCCGAAAATGTATAGAATGCATCCAAATATAAAGGTTCCTCTTCCGTGTTTATTTATATCTAACTTATGAACAACTCCCCCGCCCCTACCATCACCATCATGACTTCCAATACTGTCACCACCACCAACATCACAACCACCACCATCATTACCACCACCATCAATCATCAACAGCACCACCACTACCATCATCATCAATACCAACACTAGTAACACCACCACAATCGCCAGCACCATTACCTTCACAAATACCACCACCATCACCACTACCACCACCAATAACCCCATCACTGCTATCACCATCACCATTACCCACCTTCCAGGGATAATGAAGGTCGTTGGGGTCGTCAATCACAATAAAATTGAAGGTGTCGTTGCTGGGATGAGTCTGGTTGTCATTTTCCTGCAGCCAACCTTCCGGGTCATCCAACTGGGCGGGAGTGGTGTAGTCATCCAACCTGGGCGATATCGTGTAGTAGTTGTAGTCGTCCATGGTCGTGCCTGTAAAGATAAAGAAGAAAACTACAATCAACTTCATTAAGATTTTGATTATCTTACGAAAACACTATGATAATTCCTGAAATAATTCTTAAGGTAATCTCTGGTCTGCCTCTTGGATGATGATGATGGCTAAGTATTTTATATTATACTTGAAGGCTTATCTAAGAAGAAGAAGAAGAAGAAGAAGAAGAAGAAGAAGAAGAAGAAGAAGAAGAAGAAGAAGAAGAAGAAGAAGAAGAAGAAGAAGAAGAAGAAGAAGAAGAAGAAGAAGAAGAAGAAGAAGAAGATTATAATCACTAAGGAGAAGAAAAAACAACAAAAACACGCTCCGCCTCCAGTATAGAACAAGACATGAAGTACGAAACTAATTGACAACGATAAGAAAGGAGGCAGGAAACGATGAAAGCGTCGATAGATGAATATGATTGAAAATGACAGTAACATTGAATGGCTGTGAGAGGAGGGAAGGGTCTATTTCATCAGCCGTGTCCATCCATTCTCTGATATACTGTACACACTAACTTAATAAACCAGCTACCTAAATTATTTCTTACAGTACATAGTGTATGAATATAATTTATCTCATCATAACATTGGTGCTGATATCATCCTTATAGGTTGATGTGGTCGACAATCATTCCTAAAATTATCGTTTGTCCTAGATCTTTTTATTTTTTACTATAATTTAAGCGAACGAAGAATAAAAATATATGATAATTTCTGGAATAATTTCTGGGTCATCTTTATAATATAGAAGGAATTCCTTGAAGACACTGCAATAAAATTTTAGGATGTTAATTTGGAGGAAATTCCTGGAACGGTGATCGTGAATGATTTCTTGAATATATCGTGTCTAATACTATAGACTGGAAAAAATATTGCTGAGTCGAGTAATGAGAAGTTCTGATTACCACATAACAAAAATAATCGCTCAGTATAATTCATGTTCATAATAATTTCAATAATATCTACATATCTGACATACAATAGAAGGAAATAAAAACTAAATACTTTCAGAAATAACCTTCAAAATATATCTGAGCAAAAAAAAAATTGCTCATATGATTCTTGAGGTAATTCCCAGGATAATTTTAATTCCCCCAAATAATCTCTGGTCTACCCCTTGGATTAAACAGTTGAAGTAAGTAATGTTGCACTTGAAGGCTTATGGGAGGAGGAAACGTGGAAAGTCCAGTTATTACTCTTATGGAAAATTAGAAGAAGGGGCAGGAGAAGATAAAAGAGGAGGAGGAAGAAGAATGAATAGGAAGAGGAAAAAGACAAGAAAAATAAAGTAAAAAAGGATGAAAAATATAAACGAGGATGAAGAGAAAATTTAAAAGAGGGAAGGTAAAAACAGAGAAGGAAAAGGAGATGAAATAGGAGGAGGATAAATTCCAAGAAGAGGAAGATGAAAAAAAGACACGGATGAATGAAAAACATTAAAAAGGAATAATGAAGTTAAAGAAAGCTGTAAAAAGTAACAGGTAGAACTGAATAACGAAACAGATTGAAATGACATAAGACAACAAGAAAAGATTTTAAAAACGAAGGAGAAATAATGATGAGAAAAACTGAAAAACAAAATATAGAAAAACAAACAGAAAAAAGTAGATATAAAAAATAAGGAAGAAAAGGCAATTTACAGAAAAAATAAATTGAAAAAAGTAAAATGAAATATAAGTCAAACAAAAACCGAAATAAAATGAGAATTGCAAACAAGGAAAATGCAATAACACCATTATTGTAAAATTAAGACGAAGACCATTATTTATGATCGATACGACAAAAGGTGACAGAAATATGGGTGATGTGGCAGGTGCCATGGGAATATGATTGAATGGCAATATGTATGATGTGATGTATTTTATATTGATCTATCAATCTCATTTTTTCACCGTACATCTCTTTCTCTTTCTCTCTCTCTCACTGTAGTGCACCCTTTTTTTTTTTTACATGATTACCCAGGCACAGGTCACTCACCCATCGGGGCCTGGGGACGAAAATGTAAAACTAATAATAAATAATAATAATAATAATAATAATAATAATAATAATAATAATAATAATAATAATAATAATAATAATAATAATAATAATAATAATAATAATAATAATAATAATAATAATAATAATAATAATAATAATAATAATAATAATAATAATAATAATAATAATAATAATAATAATAATAATAATAATAATAATTCATAGTAAATAAAATTAAAAACAAATAATAATAATAATAAAATAATAATAATAATAATAATAAGAAGAAAGAACCATAAATACAAAAATTAAAAAAAAGATCAAAAGTGAGAAACGATATATGTATGTTGTGTTGTCAATAGTAAGAGAAACAATTAAGACCCTACAATTGTGTGTAAATGAGGCAGAAAGTCAGATCAGCAACCTGGGACTTGGTCACAAATTTCGTGATGCCATATGGCAGCAGGGTCTACCATTACACAATATGCTTCCAATATCTTCCCAGGCGGTAATACCTCCCTGTTTGGTAGGTGACTACTACCTACTACGCTGGTAGTAGGGTTATAATTAACTTCTATGGACGTTAGGAAGACCTTTTTTCGTTCTATACTCTAACAGATACAAAATACAAACAACATCTAACAAGCTAAATGTATAAGAACATCTGGATAAACATTACATTTTTACTCTGACGTCAATGAAATCTGTTCACCCTGGACGCAGTAAAATCAAATTTGCAAAGAAATATCGCATTTTTTTCCAAAGGCAATATGTTGCAAAAGATTCAGGCCGAAAAATTAACCTTAGTGAATTGCTTTCAAATAATTGTCTACAGTTTTTGTTTCTTTCAGGTCAATTGGGGAGTTGTGGAGTGACAGTGCTCACGTGTGTGTGTGTGTATATATATATATATATATATATATATATATATATATATATATATATATATATATATATATATATATATATAACTCAATTAAAATGCCAGCTGTTGTTGTGAGCTTCATAAAGGGTCAGCGTTATGACCAATGGTAAGGCTTTTATCATCGTCGAGGGAGGAGAAGGATGTCACCTAACTCTCTCAGGCCCTTGTTTACGAGCACCTGGCCTCCAGGCTGTTAACAGATGGCTGATGTTACTGAGGAAACTAATTAATTTATCTCTCTTTCTCAAACATTGTATTATAACAGCTCATTATTTCGTATTTAATTTAATGGTGTAAGACTGTCCACAATTTATTTACGGGAGTGTTGCCGGGATTTTTGTATGTATCTTCACAAATCTGCAGTGATCTCCTGAAGGAGCAATTTGACCATGAAAGAGTCCGAAGATCACTGATTGGAAAATTCTCAGACGTATTTAACAATAAAAATAACAAGAAATAGTAATGAAATACAAGCACGTAATAATAAGTATTAGACCGCCTTAAAAAAAACACACACACACACAAAGGCGTTAAGCTTCAGGGGCAGGTTAATGTTCTTAGGGTGCCCTCGGATCACGGCCACGGGACACCCTCCTGCAGCAGAGATGCTGTAGAGGGGATGTACCCCGTTCTCTTTTTCCTCTTCCCTGGATGGTTACGAGGGTCGTAAAGTCGTTCTAGTGGTCGTAAATGACAAATTGAGGGCAGTAGGAGGAGTAGCTGTGTTCCTTATTTAATCAGTGGAGGGAAGGTCAAGTTTACTCCCACATATTTATGGGAAATAAATCTGATGCTAATATCTAATATCATCAGCTGATGCTACTACCAACAGCTGACAACTACCACCAACAGCTGACGTTACTGCCAACAGCTGACAACTACTACCAACAGCTGATGCTACTACCAACAGCTGACAACTGCCACAAACACCTGATGTTACTTCGAACAACTGATGTTAATACTGTAACAAGGTTGAATTTATTTTACGTAAAACTTAAACCCAAACTGAATTTTTATTGCTCTAAAATATATTTTACTTTGCAATATAAAATGGTGTATAGAAATAGTTTAGTTATCCTTCTGAAATGACCTGTTGGAGCATGGGAACTATTATGCTGTATCAGCTGTTAAGCAAATGCTTAGAGAAATACTTATACTGTGATGATATCTTTGTCAGATTATCTAAAGCAGGGATGGCCAACCTTTTGTGTGATGTGATCTACTTTTTCCACAGTTACCCTGACGCGATCTACCAGCCTAATATTCACCCATTGCCATAAAATACGCAGATTCGTAGAGAGAGAGAGAGAGAGACAGAGAGAGAGAGAGAGAGAGAGAGAGAGAGAGAGAGTAAACAAATAATATTTTTCAATGATTGTTATGATATACGAGTATTGTTAACATGACAAAATCATAAACTTACTTTACTAATGAGATGGTTAGCACTGCATGTTGTCTGCCAGTTTTGTGTATTTAGGACTGTAGGAGGTGACTGCTAGCCTCAAGCAAGCATCCAGGTGTTAAGAACATAAGAACATAAGAATGGAGGAAACTGCAGCGGGCCTATTGGCCCATACTGGGCAGTCCCGTTTACACCCAACCCCTATTGCTCATATGAGCATCCAACCTATGTTTGAAGCAATTCAGCGTATTCGAGTTAATGATGATATTTGGTAACTTGTTCCATTCATCCACTACTCTGTTTCCAAACCACTGTTTACCTATTTCACGCCTAAATCTAAATTTGTCTAATTTAAAACCATTGTTACGAGTTCGCTCCTGGTTGGATAGTTTGAGTACCTTTGTAATGTCCCCTTTGTTTAGCCCTGCCTTCCACTTATACACCTCTATCAGGTCGCCCCTCGCTCTACGTCTCTCAAGGGAGTGCAAATTAAGATGCTTTAACCTGTCTCTATACTCAAGGTTCCTAATGCCCGGGATTAGTCTTATCATTCTCCTCTGAATTCTTTCCAAGGATTCTATATCCATTCTGTAATACGGTGACCAGAACTGAACTGCGTAATCCAGGTGTGGTCTCACAAGAGCAAGATGCAGTTTTAGGATGACCTCGCTAGTCTTGTAA